TATGGCTAACCAGAATGAGGTAAAAAAGAGGAAAATAGAAAAGGAAGCGGCGATGGGCCATTAGGATTACTGTTTTTTTTTTTTTTACTTTTTGTATTCGTTGTCAAGTTTTTGATTTCGACCGTATGTTCCAGTCTGCGTGTTTTGAAGATTAATGCTTTGAATTCGGTTGCAGTGAAGGTTCGATCAGTCAAGCAGCATGGCAGGAACTGGGTTCTGGTAGTTCGCTCCCGGTGCGTTTGAAAGCAATGGAGCAGTTGGAAATGGTTCGTTCACTTTACTTGTTTGTTTTGCAAATTTTGCCTTCCCGTAATCCTTGGACAGCGCTTACTGTTTTTCTGCAAATTATGGCTTCTTTTACCACTTTTACTGTATTACATATTTCACATAAGGCTGGCCAGCTAGCCAGATCGTTCGATCCTGTAGCTTCTTTCTAGCGTATTTGACCTTACTGCGGCACTTATTCAATGTTTTTTTCCGCGGAGATACCATTTACGAAAGCGGGGCCGGTTGCTTTGTCGATGGTTACATTGCTGTGCTGTACGCCGCTCATCTGTTTTTCTTAAAAATACAACCATGAAGAGCCCCTTCAGGCATTCTTGGCTCCGCTGCTCTCTTTATCATAGCTAGCGTTCACTTTGTTGTTTTTCGCCATTGTTCAGGATTGGCAACAGCATTCAACAGTGTGTCAGTAAAAAGCATTAATGTTTAAGGAAACTACTACTGTTAAGGTTGTGAGAAGCAGACGACTGCAGAGTAGCACTGTGGAAGCACTGTTTCACGAAACGAGAGATTTATTTGAGAACGAAGAGACCAGAGAATCGTTCCTGAAGACATTTGTAACACTCACTGAATGTCAACTGGAACAGCTTGGCTTGGCAGTGCGCGATACCTTTTTCTCAGTATGATCTTTGTTTTTTTCAGTTATTCTCAACTTCAGCAGTCTTTCCTTTGAATGGGTCATCTCTGATCGTACTGTGCATTCTTTGACACTGATACAGCAAGAAACATTCTCACTTGCTCAGGGCTTCAGTTTGTCTTATAGTATCGAACAAGCTTGCAGATGCATCCTCACCACTACTGGCTTTATGTGTTCATTCTCAATTGTATAGGTAACATTCAGCATTCCGCTTTGTTTATCTCTTGTTTGTCACTTTTTTCGCACTATATACCTAGATGAACATACTTTTCCTTAACATAATTCAGGCCAAATCACTGCTTCATTGGAAATGTGCTGCAACTTGCTGATGCCTAACGAGTCTCATCCCATTACTGATTAGGTCGGCTAAACTGTCGGTGCTCTAAATTCTTAGCTGTCGTTTTTTGGAAAGTATTCGAATGTTTTATGCTTTTTTAGTGGTAGCTGTATTTGCAGCTAATTCGCTCAGTGGGACTGAATGATTTGTCGCTGGAATGGTTCGCGGCTCTGTCGATGAATGGTGAAAAAGTGACGGGTTTCGAATACGATTTTATGGGCCTTCTGGTGTCTTGGCTAAGAGAAGTGCTGGACTTGAACACGGCGGATCATCGTCTTGCTATACGAGTGCTTCAGCTTACCCAGCAAGCTATAAAGTGTGGTTACTTCAGCTTTTGTTGGATCATTTCCAAAATTTTGCTCAGTTGGAATTTTCTTTAGAATGCATATTTACTTAATATTAATATTAAATATATATTAATCAGTAAAGACAAGAGTTCAGTGGTAACCATGCAAACGAATTCTGATAGTAGGCGTTTATTATTTTTCAACCACTAGTCAAATTCGCCTCTGTATTTGCTCTGTATGAAAGACGAAGGTAGTCAGAAGTAGTCTCAAATGGTAGCAGATACTGCGCATGCCTTTTTTTTTTTTTTTTTTTTTTTTTTTTTT